AAACAGATATTAAAAGAGAAGCCATGGTGAGTGTTCATCAGCAGAAGCACAGGATGAACATCCTGTATGGTGCAACTCTATCTACCCTAGTACATTAAATTTGCCCACTCAGCTAGGGAGCCCACTGGCTTGGAACAAACTGCATCTGAGCAAGATACAATTGGTTTTAGCCTCCAAAACAAGACAGCTGGATCAAAACCACCTGTGTGAATGGTTTCTGGAGTGCTCTACCACCAAACTGCAGCCAGGAATGGTTTATCAAAAGCACTTGCTCATTGTAACACACAAAATCCATGCCACAGGATGATCTACAGCTCACATATATTTATTCCTAGTAGCTGGAAAAGTCACTAGGATTTGAATTTGCTGGTAGAGCTGAAGCTGGAGATTATATATCATGTCAACTGGCCAGAAATGCATGGCCACCGGCCTTTCCAGTTGCAGCCCCGCAGTTAAAAGCCAGTGCCCTGTGGGTAGTTGGGATGATGCCTCAACGTACTATCAAAACGTGAGCTGATGCTCTGCCACATGGCCCCCATCTGTGCAGGTTCCCAATACATTAATGTAGCAGATGTGAATATCACAGACCATCTATGACGGGGAGGTAGAAAGCAGAGTACTCTGTACAAACACTGGGAAGTGCTTGCTTACATTATTAAATGTGTTTGATTAATAACCTTTATTCTTCTTGGAGTGCAAGGCATTTAGTTATAGCTGACAGAGTTAATGATCCTCAGAATATAAAACCACATCCAAATCAAACCCTTAAATCTGAACTCTTTATTGTTTCAAACTTGATTTTTTCTGGTTGGATCTCTGTGTCATTTCAGTTAGTTGAGTGGCAGCCAGTAACTCACACTTTGACATATATTGTTACTAATGTTTCAGTTTCCTGTTTTTTCAGCAGGCAATCTCTATCTGATAATCACAATAATGCATATTGGCTATATCTCTCAGTGTTATGGAATTATTTTTTTTTTTCATGGAAAAACGGTCCATTTCAGTCTTCTGGGTATTTCCCTGGATTTTGACTTGTTCTGCAGAACTGTATTTCTAGGCTGTTTTAATAGGTGACAGTATAATCCCTCTATATGTAGATGAAGGCATTAATTTACTGAACAGCAACTATTGGTCCAGCATTTTCATCTGTCATAAGAAGAGTGATTAGTGAGGTTGATAATAGTTTAACAATGGATGCTGGTTCATAAATAGCAGTAGGCCTTTTTCAATAAAAGCCGGAAAGATCTTGGAAGATTGACTTTCTTGAAGTCCATGGTTAAAGAAAAGGGAATTATAACACACCCAATGATTACATGCTGTTTTCTGGTGAATGACAAGGCCATGTATTTACATAGCTTTCAGCCAAAGTGATCCTGAAGGAACAAAATAATTTGCCGCTCTTAAGAATGAGCTTCACCACCATGGAGTACACCCTAGTCTTCCTGGGCATGAGTTGGATGCTATTTTCAGGAATTTAAGTGCTCTAAGTTACTCTCTGGAAGAGCTGCTTTCTCAGTGTAGCAAGAACGTAGGGAGACTTGCCTTACCTCAAGGTTGTTCTTGCAAACAACTCCACTCTCCTTGTCGCTAGACACTGTCAATAGCACATTTGAAAGCCAGATTGCCATACATTAACAGCATGACAAATTGCAACCTGGACAGGGTTTGGGAAGAATCTTCATACCAAGCAGGTAAGTAAATGCCTCTTAAATAACGAAGGAATATTTAAAGAACATATTGTTCTTGGGTATTGCCACAAAAATCTGCTCAGGTTTCTACCTGAAGAAGACTTTCCTATCCAAACATTGGTTAGTTTATGAGTCCTGAAATGGGAAATTTTGTTTTCTTTTTTGCCACTGGGGAATCGGAATCTTTTCAGACAACCATTGCCAATTAATACCAGTTTTGCAATAAATCTAGAATATACAATCAGTGAAATTGCAAATGATCTCTTTTATAATTTACATATTAATTATTTACATTGGTAAAAGGTCAAGGAATCTCAGAAATATTGACAGGATGTTTGTTGATGCAAATGACAGAATACCAACTTTGGGAATGTACCCCGACTGCAAAATCAATCACCTAGCCTAATTGATTTAGCAACAGAATATTAGACATGAAAGAAATCCAAGATAAAAAACCTTGTACAAGAGAAGTATAATGTAATTTTTGGAAATCTTAACAGTTTAGATGAAGATACGTGTCTTGCAATAAGGTCATTTTAATTTACCTTTTATGATGGAACTACTTTGACAGACTTCTTAATTGATTTACAGTGGGTTCAGAATTGAATTGATAACCTTTATGAAGCAGAGGAATTTGTATGAAAGGAACTTTGTGAATTGAGCTAAAGTGATATCATATAAAAGAGTTATATTAAGTCCACCAATGGAAGTCCTATACTTCTTCCTGATTGCAGAGTCCTCCTCCACTGCTTCTCAGAGGTGACATCCTCAGAGACCCTCTGAACACCTATACATTGCATATGATTTGTTATCACATCTTAAACGAGATTATCTGAAAAGGACTGAATTTCATTGTCCCCCAAAGAGTAACTGTTCACATAAACGTGTCTTACCTCAAATCTCTTTAGCTGCCTTCTTGGGTTCTAGTCTCGCCACAGCAAATCTGAATCACCCGTGTGAGAGCTCTACTTTATTCTGAAGTTGGCATAAATACACTTACTGATTATCAGCATCATTAGCTAACTGTTATATACCTGAATATTTTTAAAAGGATACTGGGGACGCAGCAAACAACTATGATGAATCACTCCGTAATGCACTACTGTATGTTTTCTTCATGAATTAGGTAAGAACAGATGATATTTTCCAGGCAGCACATGTTAAGCATGCATTTTTCTTGATGAAAATTTGTGGTGTTATTCACTTCACTGCATCCTTAACAAAGGTCACCTCTTTCACATTTAATGGAAGGAGAATCGCTGTGCATCACATGTTGACTACGTGACTGGTCTCATGATTGAGCATGCCTGAGAACATTAGGCCACTTGAGGATGTTTTCACATCATCTCCTCCATATGACTGGACATCAATGGCACACAGAAGCGGTCTGCCTGTACCCTCACTTAAAGCAGTCACAGGGATGAAGGTACAGCTTCTTATCTTTCCACTCTCTAATGACTTTTGCTTCACTTATCAGGTGGCAGACTTAGGTAAAATGCATGCAAGTACAAGGAACAAGGTTGGGAGCCACAAGGTACTGCACTCACAGTTTAGCCCAGGTACAATTCTTAAGCTGGTATAACTCTTGAGTTGCAGCTAGGCATAATCTTGCCTGCTCTCCTGGTCTTGAGACCCTTGAACTCCTGGCTATATGGTATAAAGGCTGTCAACGCTATCCTTTGCCATCAAGATTACACTATGTACTCAGTCCCCCATCTTGACTGAGTGCTCTAATGATATGTCCATTAAAACAAAAGAAAGTCAGTATGACTGTTGCTAGCAGTGAGCTCCACTAGACGGCCATCCCCAGAATCAGGGCTAGACAGAATAGATCCCAAAGGAGTGGATAATATCCAATATTTCCATACTCCCAGTGGAAGAGAGAGATACATAATTTAACTAGATTAAGTTAGTGGGACTGCCTATGTTACCTACCTAATTAACTGAGGGAGAGAGTGTGGCCAAAATTAATGAAATTGAATATCCATATTCAGGTCTTTGGAGACACTTTCCATTGAGTATATAAGGGACATAATGAACATAAGTAGTTATTTGAGCTGGACTGTATTGGTTCCTGGCACTTCAAATTATAGACAAGTATCTAAATGGAGCACTTAATTAAGGTAGACTGGATTCAGCGCTTATTCACTCTGATTTGAATGAGTGGATTTATCTTTTATGTGCAAATGGAACTGGATTCTTCACTGTTTGTTTGAGCTTTTAACCTTCTAACTGAGTAACAGTCGACTTCCAAATGCATCAATAACATGAGATTTTAAGAAATATGTTGTGCTTTACTGCACAAAATAAAACACAAATTTGGCACATGAGTTTCTCCTTAGGCAAGCACTTGTTCTAAATGAATTTTACATATGAAAAAATCTCAGCTTCTATTTAAGTGACAAATAGATAATGCAGATTACGTTTATAGGTTAGGATATGATTCGATCAGTCACTTGCAGATGAATACGCATAGCTCTTACTAATTGGTTTTGAGCACACAGAACTTCTGATTACATTAATTAGATAAATATGTATCTAATTTTCAGCTAAGCACAAAAAATGCAACATCTATTTACTTCTTAAATTTTTTTCTTGGTGAAGTGTAGATCTTACTATATAATTCCCCCATGAGATATTATTGAAATCTCAAGATTTTTTTTTTCCATATGGCTACTTGTCAGTTCTGTAACTGTACTCTCTAAGACTAGGATACCGACCTGCTGCTCCTAATCTGACCTGAAACCAGGAAAAACTCTTCAAATAAATGATAATGATTAGAAAGAGGTGCAGATACTGTATTTTAAGTAGGATTAAATATACATCTGATTTAAGTCTGAACTTCTACCCTTGAATTTACGTATCATGATTCAAAACATTTCTTCATAATTTATAAGTGCATAGGTAAAGAAAGATGAAGAAGACATATTTATTCACAAATTTGTTTTCAGTTATTCTTTCCACTTTTGTCTAGCATTAATCAAAACAAACCCACAAACAATTACAAGATAAGAAGAGATACCTACTATTTCAAATATGCTTTTATATTAAATCTGTGCTAGATGTGGGTACCTTTCCTTACCATGCTCTAGAATATGCATTGAAAATTATGCACTGTTGTGTCCAGTAAGTTGGAAGTAAGGTCATTTTTTGAAGGTAGTAGTAGTACTCGGTAGTATTAGCTGGCTCATAATATAAAGGCCAAAGACTGATATACCTCAGAAAACCTGATCCAATATTAACCCTCAACATTGCAAGCAATAAAAAGGCTCCTATCTATAAATACAATAAAAGTTACCATGTGGAACTTACTGTGCTGGCAGTGAATCCCATTGAATCCCTCTGGACATTTACAAACATATCCTATGAATGTGTCACCTCGGTACGCTTCGCTAATTTCACATATCCCACCATTATGACATGGATTAGGAAGGCAGGGTCCTGAGAGAGGGGAAAAAAGAGAGAAGAATATATGCATGCATAATAACAACCACAATAATTTCAGTCATTTATATGCATTCATTAAAGAAATAAAATCCCTTATGTAGACCTTCATATTCCACCAAGCCACTAAAATATACCCTTCATTTAGTTCAGATAACTTGCCAGCACAGATTTTTATGAACAAGAAAAAATATGAAGCATGTCACTACTCATTAATCACAACATTATTTTTTAATGTAAGAGAAGACAGGAGACAGAGAAGCTAAATCTTGCTCTCCTATTAAAGATAACAGGCATTCTAACTTTTATACCACTGAGGAAATATGTATTAATCAAACGTGCCTATCATGTACAGAATGACATGTACAATATCCCTGAATAATCACTACATGTCAAGTTAATAGTTTGAGGAGATCTTTGCTATGGCTTTGGGTGACTTTCTGAGTATGTGACTATCTGGGCCAGCAGTTAGCAGCTACTAAACCAACTATTCTTTTTCCATTGAGTGCCTTTTTAACATATCCACTTCAAGCTGATTTCAAAAAGATCTTCTGACTAATTTTTTTCTTTCCCAACTAACCACATGCTAGGATCCCTAAATTTCAGCAGTGAGATCTAATTTGTTGGGTTTGCAATGACTATACACACCTTTAAATAACAGCATCTTTTGAACTGAGGCCTAAAGTTTGTTCATTTAATGGCATGTGTTTAAAACCTTTTACATGTTATTATCTTACTAATACTACCTGTAACATACCTCCTACGAGAAGAAAACACTTTAGCATTTTGATAAATCTTTTTTCTAATCTTACTTTGAAGAACTGGTAATCATTGATTGGACAGCCTCATGTGTAAGTTTGTGTGAGAAAAGATTTGTGAATTCAGTATAAAGTAAGTTATTTGCAATCTTTGCCAGGTACACAGAAAGGTGTTAATCTTTGCTTATTGAAATGCAATGTCATAATTATTCACCCACTTAAAATTGTATTTAAAAAAAAAAAAAAAGAACAGAACTTCTTTCCACAGCATAATTCACTGACAATCAGCACTGGGAATTGAATGATTTAAGCTTAAAAGAGCTATAAGTTTAACGTTTCTGAGGGTCTGCCTATTAGTTTATGTCTTCAATGACAAACCCAAGGTTTGACAGATGTTCACAGCAACAGCATCCATTCAGAATGTCACATTAGTGAAAATTTCACTCTCTAAGAAAATATTAATTTGCAAATTAACAGAATGACAAGGATGTCAGAACACATTCCCCAGTTATAATTGCCTGGGTGGTTATAGCAATTTGAGGAACTATCCATGTGCACATTTCTATTACAACTGACGTCATCAGCTTGTTCCAGGACACAATCCTGCAGAAGTTACGCTTGTGCACATCATTAAACATGGGATATGTCTCACCAAACCCAATAAATATGACATGAATATATAGCAGCTTATTCTAAATGCAATTAGTAGTAAAAAAAGGCAAAAATCATGAAGATGAAAAGGATGAGACTGGCTGGTGCCTTTTTTGCCTTTCCCCATCCACATTGTGCATTACACTTTAAATATAATGGTAAACTACATTCTTAATTCCAGACAACAGATATCACTTAACAGGTCTAGGAAGACTCATGGCTTTCAAGTATCACAATGTCTGATCATGTTATTTCTCCTCTGTAATATTTTGGGAAGAAACATGTTTAATAATTTGCAATTTTGGTCTCCCAATGAATATGAGCTGTGTATTTTTTTTTTTTCAAGTCTCTATCATAGTGCTGCTGTTTGGGGAGTACCTGCAGGTAGTCTCATATGTCAATTATTTCTGTGCAAGCGAATCTCTAATCTTCCAAGAACAATAAACCTTTTAATAATTCTTTCTCATTTTGCTTCCTGCTTTCTCCATATGGCTTGTTAAGCACATGTTCAGCATACTTTCACTGACTTTCTTTAGATTTTGCAGTTTCTCAGATCAGTCCAAAGTACAAAGACTTAAAAGGTCATTTGAGGTGCACAGTAATAAATATACTGGTGCACGCCAGTATTTCTAACTAATCTTAGGCTTCTACAATGCCTTCCTACTGAAAAAAAACTCCACACCAACAATATGAACACTTTTTTTGCCTGATTATAGTTGTTATTTGGTCATAGACATATAATAGCAGTATTTTCCATCTAAATGTTGAGTAATTTTTTTTTTTTTTAATAGAAACTGGTAGTTCAAAAATGATTTTGAGAGTAATTAAATGCACTGACACTAGTAAACAACAATCATCTAATTTTCACTAGTTAACACCCATTTCCTAAAAAAGACGTGTTAACTCATCTGTGTTCTAAAAGAATGAATGATTGAAACTTTAAAAAGCCTGTATCATCATACCCTGTTTCTCCCAGTTCTCCAGAGGATCATACTCTGAGCTCACACATCTTCAGGATATTTAAATTGCATGAACCTTCAAGCATATGATTCTTTTTTTTTTTACTGAGTCTACAGGATCCCTGATGCAAGTTATGCAGGTTTGAGTGTCTTGAAGGATCTGGGCACTAATCCTGCCATCATTCCATTTAAGCATCAAAAATAGTATGTAAGATCTAGGCACTGCTGCCAGATGATGCGAGGTCCCAACTAACTTCCATAGGGATGTACAGGCTTTTAAATAACATTGTATTGAATGCTGGATAATTAATTCCCTGATAATCTGATGAATATTCTCAGATCTATAGCAGCAAGTTCAAAAACATCCTTCCTTACCAAAAAAAAAACCAAACTAAATTTGTCAACTAATTTTCAAAAAACAGCGGACTTCAGGGATTTGTTTTTTTAAATCAATAGCACTGTAATACTTTTGCAGGTAATCTTTAATTGGCTTCCAACACAAAGAGAACAACAACATTTGATCAATATTAATGAGCGGTAGAATTCAGTGGTATGCTTTCCAGGCATTTTTATCCATGTTCATATAAAATAATGTCAACAAGATTAATTGTGCACTCAAAGTAATAGATCTATTCACTTTGCTGCTCTTTGGAGTCCTTCTTTGTGCGGTTCCAATGGTATTAACCAACATAATAAGTATAGTCCAAAATACATCATTCTGTTATTCAATTGAAATTGCATGCTGTTTTTGAAAAAATATTGAAAGTTAAATTAAAGCATAGCAGGTTTTAAATATTTTAGATGCTCTTACTAAAATCTCTGAGATTTTATAGGTGGACAAATCAAACAAGTACATCCTCAGTAGACTTGCAAAGGGGCTCAAGGCAGAATCATGTTATCTGTTTTCTTCTTTGACAAGAACAATCAACTAAAATTTCATTAAAATAAGATCTTGTATAATGCAGTACTGAAGTGGTAATTACATGTTTGAGAGAAACCACTAGTTTGTCTATAGCAAGAAAAGCCAGGAAAGCAAGAAAAGCATCATTTCACCAATAAGAATGTAATTTTTGACAATGATAATATATACAAAGAGTCAATTAGCCTATTTAGGAAAACTGTTACTTCATTTTGTCTTGTAGGATATACAAATTCTTTTGAAGTAATAGAAAGAAGTGTCCAAATACCTTTCTACTTTTTCCTCTGATAATCTGGATGAAAAGTATTTTTTAAAATACCTCGTCTTATTTTGGGCTTCTTTTTTTTGCATGGTCTTCAATTTTTGAGAAAAAAACAAATACACCAAAAAAACCTTAGAAACATTGACAGTTGTAAAGGACATTTAAATATGTGTATGTGAATGCCATTACCTAAAATTCTGATTGTTTTCATTTCAATTATTTAGTTTTACTACAGGCTGGCTGTATCTACATGAGCAAGCTACACAGTGCAGTGGGAAGGGATCTGAAGAGCAAGAGGGCTGATGCTGAGGTCCTGATGCCCACACAGTGTCCTTCCTGAGAAAGGGGTGGTAGAGCTACTCTGGTGGTAGACTAACTCTAGTCTCTGTCAAGGCTTTTCATCTGCTTAGGGTTGTATCTGTATGCGTGAGGTATGACACTAATTACTGTTCCCTCTAAGTGTCCGGGATGCATTAGAATTTAAGAAAAAAAGGAAAAATATTATGTTTCCACTGCATTGCTGATGAAGCACTGCAGCTCTCCCACTCCTCACCCAGCGGAGGACAGCAAGAGCTGTACATGAGTTCATTTGGAGTGCCAGTGCAAACTTCATCAGGGACAGACACAGAGCCTGTCTGCAAGGGCAGGCTGTGCAGATGGTCAGCGACACAATGAACACATGCAAGATTTTGTACAATGCACTGAGGTGCATCATCAAGAAGTCTACCGACGCTTTGCCAGATATTTTTCTGATAAATTGGACTTAAAAATGTGACAAAGGCCAACTTTGAAGTACAATGGCTAACAATGGAGCTGTGTAGCATTAGCTTAGCAAAATCCAAGAAATCAGAAAGTAGTTGAAATAGCAGCCATAACAGAAAGAAAAAGCAAACAAACAACACCCCCTCAATGACTCTTTCCTTTACCACTCCTCAATTCAGTGATAGTCATCTGTAAAACAAGCCATTTCTCATGCTTCCACCAAACAGTGTAACCATTTTTTGCCAAATATAAAATCTGCTGCTGCTTTGGTGGGAAAGACATTCAAAAAAACCAGGCAGTTACAGGTGATGTAGTTAAACAAGAACTCTACATCAATCACATCTTCCTCAAAGTCTGATTCTCCGTACTCAGAAGTGTGCTTCCTGCTGTGCTAGAATAGGAAGATGATCAAAAATCAAAAATCATAATTTCTTACTAAGACAAGATTAAATGAGAAATATGAAAAACATAAAGAGGAAAAAAAAAAAGAAAAATATACTCCAATGGAGTGACACATGCTAAATAATCACATTTTTAAAAAGTAAAATTAAAGGCAGTGCAATACAAATGTTAACACTTTTGATGGTATCTATCTATCCATCTTCTCTTCATGTAGAAATAATGCAACTTTAATGAAAAATACTAAATTAGACATTGACCTTGACATACATCGAGATGAAGATACT